TATCTCACGAAGAGATAAGACAATAAAATAGTAGCAAATGCAGATTAAAATTGTGCCCTTTCCCCTTTCATTATCTTTTTCAAATTCTGTTATTACTAACAAAATAGCATTACTTTTCAAACTATTAATTGGTCTGGTTAGGCAAATACTCCCCCAGTTAAAACTCAGCATCATCCAATGTCAGATGAAACACAGAAAATGAATGGAGAGTTTCCTTCTGATTTAATGTACTATCTCTGTACTTGTTCTCTCTCTAGCAAAAATAGCAAACCAGTATGATTCCATAAATCTGGGAAGTTTAGTACACAAGCATAGGAATAACAATTTCACTAAAGGAGTTTAAACAGAAAGACATGAAGTCTTTTAAACCTTTATTAGAGTGACACCTTGTGGCCATATTTGACTTGAGACCTCTCAAATTTTTTCAGTTTCTTGTAATTGCTTCATAATTTGTGATCTTGGACAATGTAAAAAGATAAAGCCACAAAACAAAAAAAAAAGTGATAAGGATAAAACAAAAACCATCATTGCCTGTTCAAAGATCTTTAGAAGTATTAACATTCACTTATGTATTTACACTTTTTTATCTCAAAAAAAGAGCTATGGCTTAGAATCACAACTCTGCTACCTCAATTTGAAAATCTGCCTTTTTTCTTTTTCTTAAATGAACTCCTGTTGCTTACCGATATTAAAACTGATATCCACATCGGTTGTGAAAAATACCCTACAGGCAGATCTTTTATGATTTTTATCACTGATTTCTTGAAACACAACACAGTTCCACATTGTCAGGACTATGGACTGAGTAAGTGCTATGTAAGAAAAAGAGTTAACTTTTTAATATAATCAAGAAGATGGTATTCATTTTTTCAGGTTAATGATGGGATAAACAGTTGGCTTAATTAACAGGCGCAGACTAAAAATACTTGGAAACAGGAAAGAAGGATATTCACTTAAAATCAGTAACAAACCATGCAAGGATAACAAACACGCAAGCATTCTCTTCTACATTGCCGAACTATTAAAAGAGGAAGCTAGAATAACTGTGAACCTGACACTTGTTCCTAATTCTGACAGGAACCTGCTTACATGACTTTTCTGTCTCCCATCTTCCCTCTAAAGAAAGTCTTCAGCTCTACGTGAAAATTGCTATATAACAATGAAACTAGGAGCAAAAGAAATTCTAAAAAAAAAAAAAAAAAAAAGAAAAAAAATACAGTACCATATTAAAAAAGAAAAAAATTAACCTCTAATCCTGCTCTCTTATTTGCTTTTCCTGCATAGTATGTGGCTGCTCAATTTTTAAAGGTGGTGGAATAATGTCTTCTAGAAGTATTTAAAGCAAAAATTAGAAGTCTTTCTAAAATTCAATTATGTCAATAAAAAGCCCAGTTATTATACCTAGAATTTTCTCTTACTAAAAAAAAAAACCTCAAAATACAGCAACGCTCTCTCACCTGTTATACTAAACTTCAATGCCTAAGAAATAATTTGCCTTGTACAAATTAGGTGGTATATCTAAAATTAGGGATTACATCCCACAATAAATCATCTTTTGTGGGTGAGAAAGCATAAACGATCTTCTCATCTTTTCATTATAGAATTTCAGAGTCTTCGGTTACTGCTCTTCCATTTTCCACCTATTAACCCAGACAAAGGTTATGGCTGGCAAAAGTTATTCTGAACCTATTAAAACATAGACTGGAGAATACAAGTAAGTAACAGGAAGAAGAAAAAGAGTGTAAATAACCTTATGTCACTTGATTCTGCCTGATCAAGCAGGATGGTTTGGTACATGCTTTGCCTAGTACAAATCATCTTTCATGGGAAGCATAATAATGCCCCCAACTCTAACGCTATTGTGCATGTTTCACAATGCTCCATATATCCAAAAAAAAAAATAAAATCAAAGTAATGATAGGGACTATGACACACATAATACAATAAATTACTTGTTAAGGAGACTGAACTGGTCTTAATTCCTTGTGGTATAAATTACTTATTTTATTTAACAACTAACTGCCAGAAGGTTGCATTTTTTTCTTCCAGCTACTGTGCAAGATGCATTGGTTGTAGATTTGAAAACTGATAGATTCACTTAAAAGAAAAGTGAAAGGTTTTCAAAACACAAACAAAAAACCAGCCTGCACACATGCAAATAGAAGATATACTCCATCAATTTTTATGCCCATGGAAATGTTTGAATAGCTTCTTAAAACTCAGGTGCACACGTTAGTTCAGCCCTCGACAGCGCTCACCTTGTATAACTAATATTGATGTGAAAGGTAACTCAAAAAGGCAACTAACCTTGCCTAATGTTACAGGGCTCGTATTCTTTTTATAACCTATGGTTGAACAATTGCTCTATGTATCAGACACAACCAAGCTGTCCTTCAACAACGTGTGCAGAATCTGGCACGTTCTACTCCCTTGCTTTGAAAAAAGGTGCGTAAATAAAAACCACAGCCAATAACCCTAGTTTTCAATTCTCCACGACCACTCAAGTAGTCATTCTATACAGCGATGCCATAAAGCACTTTGAGCTAAAATCAACTTTTTAAAAGTAAATAATAATAAAAAAAGACCACCTATCTCAAATCCATACTGGTGAGAAACTGCACTGTGAAAAGACACTTAGTCCAGCATCTTCCACTGACAATGCATACAAACCTTTAAAAAAATTGCTGCATGCTTCCCTAAGTGGTTGCTTGCAAAGAGATTATTATCCACATGACTAAGACAAAAGGGGAATAAATGTTAAAACTAATGTCAAGAAGACGGAGCAAATCATGACACTTGCAATGGACTCCTCAGTACTTCTGTCCACAAACAGGAAAAGTTTGGCACTGGGACAGCAGAAGCAATGTTGAGCAATATGAAAACAGAACTATAGGTTTGGATGTAAAGAATGTACTGATTAACCTAGTGCTAATAAATGTGAGTGATTTGCTCAGTTGCATTACAGTCTTCCTTTAAAAATAGGGCATTTATATCTTCAAATGAAATAAATGGTGGTTTTTTTTCACTATCTGTTGATAATCTGATAACAATTTATTTCCAAACAGAGCATAGAAAACATTTAAAACATATCTGCCCTTTGATAAGTTTGCATAACTTATCTGTAAAAACAGAGTATCAAATATTAAAAGAATACATTCTGACATAATCTCATACTAGCTCATATTTTAAATCTGTGCTCACAATACTGGAGATCATCTCTTTCTAGATGACAAAAAATTGCTATGTATTTTAGGATTTTTGATTTGTGGATGTTAGTATCCTTGAGATAACTAGTTTAACTCCTTTAAGTAAATAAAACTATTTTAAATACATAATCACAAAAACTTGACATTAGAGACAGAAAAAAAAAATCTAGTCCTCCTTGCTCACTTTCTCTATACAGAATATTAATTAGAAGCCAGATAAATAAGAGTCTCAAAGACTAATATGTATGTGTATATAGCCTCCCCCATTCAAAGCCTCTCTTCTGGAGGTCAGCTGGTCCAAACCCCTGATTAAAGCAGAGCCAACCTTCAAGTTGGACCTGTTTCTATTAATACAAATAAATAAATACAAAGTTCTTAAAGTGAAACTCCTCAAAAAACTGTCAGCAATTTTAGGTTTCTAAATGCATTTAAAATAGCCTTTTCTTCTTCTCTACAGGAAAATAAAAAATAAAAAAGAACAGTAAATTAGTCACAGCACTTTTACTTTTGACTAGCAAATGAACTCTTAATATAATGTAGGCTTCAATTCACTGATGCAAAGAGAGATTACAGAACAGCCTTATCTAAACTACCCTGAATTATCTTGTTGACTCACAACTGAGAACTCCTATTGCCTTAAGGTTACTGCTCCTCAACAATAAGTACTCATAAACTTATGCTGCTACATGACTTTCTCTTTAGCTGTTTCACTTGCTCTTCAAAGTAGCTGCACCTCCAGGGAATTCCCCACCACTTTGTGGATATGCTAATGAGGAACACAGATTTATAGAAAATAACAGGTTTACTGGGGATCGTGAAGCAGAACAGGAAAAATGAGAGGCTTGAGGACTATGTGATAAGGAAATCTCTGCTGTAGTTACCTGGACAACTGTATATTTCAAGTATCTACTAAAATTAAACTGCGAGGGGGAGGTTTCCAGGTGTGCTTATGCACATATTTAAATAGATAATATATAGCTATGCATGCAAAACCACCACATGAAATGAACTCCCTCCTGATAATCTGCTCCTCCAATTGAGGGCAAGTCACTTTCAGAGGATTAAGGGATCATCGGAGTACTAGGATACACAAGAGGTCCTTTTGTGCCAAAAAATGAGTAAGACCTAATGATGATAACATCTTTGGAATCCACAGACTGTGGCTTCTATACTAATGAGCTCGATTCAGTTTTTAGATAAGGCAGCTTCAATGTGATCATAAGCTTCTTCCAGAATTCCCAGCACCTTCAGTAAAAAGACATCACATTAATAATGATTAAACCCATTTAGCGGCTTTGGGTTACACAAAGCATTGCTCAAACCTCCTTAGAACACTCTTCCAATGCAACAGCAGAAAATATATGTAATATATAAAAATACATTTCCAAGGTTTACAGCAAGTATCTAAACACATTTTAAACATTCTGGCAATGAAGGAATGATGTTTACTACTGAGTGAAAAAAACCACATCAGTTGTAAGAGGAAAGGTGAGTACAACCTAGAAAAAAAAAAAAGAAAAAAAAAGAAAAAAGAAAACAAAAGGGAGGGAGGGACATACATAGTTAGAGATGGAAGCAGCAGAGTTTTCAAAACAGGAAGCCTGCAATTTATCACCTGTATTTACATTAAAAAATCATCCACCAAGACAGACAATTTTTTTTTTTTTAAACAGCTGATGAAAGTTGTGTACATCACACATTATCAGAAATACCTAATGCAGTAGCAAAATCCAGCAACTTACGCTGGTGTCGACATTATTTAATGATAGCCATGCAAGATTACATTGAACTAACCTGCAGACACGGGCAGGAAAATACAGGTTCTGCCAGGACCGACAGAGGTACTTAGAGTGATCAATAACCCGAATCCAGTCTAATTCATCCATGGACACCTCAATGTAGTAGGAATAAGACCTATGGAGTGTCAAAACCCACTTGTTAGAATACAAACAGCCACACCTTAGGTATTAAGTTTTACACTTCCTTCTGGATTTTCAGCTGTGCTGAGAAGGCGGCTATCTGTTCCTACCCACAGCCCTGTATCTCAGGTATCTAAAAGAGATTGCTACTTTCAAACTAGCTTTGAAAATAGATTCACATGCAGTTAATGTTAAGACATGTTTTCAAGAACGACTTAAAACATCCTAACACTCACAGTCTGCAGTAATTAGACGAGACCATTGCCCCTCAACAAATGCAATGGAGACTTTCAACTCGGTCATAACCATAATCATTTGTATTCCTTCTGCGTGGAATAAATCTAAACCAGCAGTGACAAAGTTATTACTTCTATTGCTATATCAACAAAGAAAAATAAAAAAAAAAATTTAGCAGATCAAAAATGTGAATTCAAACCCTTCACGTGAACAAATTTACTTTATGATCATTTTCTCACTGATGTTGTTCTTAACTTCTGCCCCTTTCAGTTGTTTATGATACATTGATAAGCCTGTCACCAATTACTTATACACCCCAAAATTATCTCATCAAAAATAAAAAGTGAAAAAAATCACTGACACAATCTGTGTCTTCGCTTGCTTATCCATGATATTTAGCTTATAGTTTGCTGTTAGGAGAAAGCAAACCCAAGCTAAAACTTAAAAGGCCCAGCTATTTCCATATTATACCTGCAGCAGTGATGCTCAGAATGAAGTAGAAACTCCACTTGTGGACCAGCAAATTGTGAAATATATGTTTCATCATATTTTCTTTCTCTTAATGTACTAGTCTGCAACATTCACAGGCATTTCAACAGCACCATGTTAGCTCTTATCCTCCTTTCACACTGATTTCTACAAGAAGAGTTGCTCTTCCAGAGTTCTACGTAGACATTTTTTGTTAAATATTAATGCCTTTGTTAATATTTCCAATTTTTTGCCAAGGACTCAGAGGGGTAGATGTCTAAAGTGGTATTGTTTAAAAATTTTTAAGATGTTCGATAACACTGTTAATACCAGTTTACACACTTAGAAAGGTAACGCAGAGTCTTTAAGATGTAAATTGCATAATCAGCTTTCACATTCACACCAACCAGAAGTGTAATATTCACAACCCATATATAAATACACTCTGGTTTAGCAACATTATTATTACTAGTTCATGCATATTTGACCAAGCTAGCCCCCAGCATTTTAGAGTTTGAGCAGTTTGGATCCAAAAGTTACTCACTGTCTGTCCTCTGCGTGGTGAGAATTTAGGGATTCTCACATCACCATCGCTAGACTACTGTAAATGTGTAACCAACATACAACATGCTATTTTGTTTTGTTTCTGAAGGTACCAAGCAAAGAAAAATTATCTCAAGAATACAATTCCATTATCATACACAACACTATGCCTTTTCTTTTTCTTACAGCACCTCTTTTGCAGAGGTAATTTGGACAGCTAGTCTCCTTAGCACTTTTATATCCAAGATTCATCTGTTAATAACACCTCTAAACTAGAGGTGCAAAACACGCCTGTTAGTTTATCTTTGGTTCTGTTAAGAATGTACACGGATATAGATGTACATGTATGTACATCTACATAAAGATATCTAATAGACCAGAGCTTCACAGAGACAGTTAAAACGAATGAGTAGTTTAAAAAGATCTTCAACAAGAAGCCAACATCTCTTCCGGTGACATCATTCACGTATGCCGTGAGAAAGATGCAGTTAAATGGCTGGCAATTCTTAGACTAAAAGAGTTGGAAAGGATCTCTAAAAAAAGGGAGGACAATCTTAGAGCAAGTTCCTTAAGGTCTTGGCTGGTAAAGTTCTGCATCCCTCCACAGCCCGATATCCATAACCTCTCTAGGCAAATTCTTTCCAAGTTCAATTACCCCCTTATGAATTCTTTTCCTAATATTTAATAGGAATTTATCTTGTTGCTTGTGTCCACTGCTCTTTGCCCTCTCAGCACACATCTGTAAGAGGAGTCTGGCCCTGTGTTCTCTATATTCTTCCGTTAAATAGGTGAAGACAGCAGTAAGTTCCCCCTTCTAAACCTTCTCCTCTTAAAAGAGCAAGTTCTCTCAGCAACTCCTTGTACATTGTGTGCTCAAGCCCTCACCATCTTGGTGTCCTGCAGAACTCACTCAAGTACATCGGTATCTTATACTGAGGAGCCCACAACCGGACGAAGTACTCAAAATGCTTCCATTTATCTTAGACAGTTGAGCTACCAGGGGGAAAAAAGTGACAATGCAGGAGCTCTACCTGGTAAGAAGCAAAAGAAAGTCCAAAAGCAAACTTTCCACAGAAAAACAAAAGTCGGGATGCCATAGAAGCTAGATCGTAAACCACTGCACCCTCACCATTTTATGAAGACAAAAAAACCCTCTAGAGTAGAGGTCCATCTTGGCTGATATTCTGCCACCAACAATGGTTTTGTTCCACAACTTCAGAGGAAAGGCATAGGACACCAAGCAACAGGGAATTTTTTAATAAGTTGTCCTAAGGAGACGGGTTTTTCCCTGAGTTTCAGCTGCTGATGATTTATGCCTTGCAGATGAGGAGCATTTTACCAGCTACAAGCTCTCTAAAAATCGCTAGAGAATGCCTCATGATTAATATGCCTCTAATACTTTTTCAAATTCTATGAAATTGGTTGATAATTGGTTTATAAATTTGGTTGATCTTCTGGGACAAGTAGTATAATATTGTATGAAGTAATTCCTTGTACCTTCAAAGTTTTACTTTTCAATCTTTCCAAAAGGAATAGAGAAGAAGCATAAATTTCAGTTGAACTGAATCAGAACTGACTTGAAACAATTAAACTGCAAAAAATTCATGCAGTTTGTTTTGAATTATTAATAACTGTAATTCATATTTTAAAAATAATTTAATTTACAAAAAATAAATTTAAAAAAATCAATAAAACATTAGTACACTTCTAAAATAACACAGCTTAGTAAAGAAAACAATGCGACTGTTTTGCAATTCTAAACTGTTAGTCTGGAAGTAATATAAAATTAATCTTTTATCAGAAAGGTAATAATGTGTTAAAAGTGTAAGTAGCTTGTTTTATTGTTTTAATAGAAAATTGCGTATGAATATGTGCATGAGCTGTCTACTAAATTGTAAAATCTCTGTCATGGCAAGTTATAAAATTAATATATTCACTGTGTCAGATAAAAGAACCTTGCAATTTTCCTAGTTAAGCAGCCACTCAATTGTTCAAATATGCATAATTTGATCTTTCATGCATTCCTTAACAACCTAAAGTAGCTGAGCACAGATTGGCTAAGGCATCCATGACAGTTCATATTTCACCAGTCTTACCACAAAGTGGCTTGTAGTAACTACCGTAGTTAGTAACTCACATTCTAAATAGGTTTTACTCTCTCCAAATTATTGTCAAAGTGTGTTATTTCTGAACAATTCTGATATATTGAAAAAACATGAACAAACATTCCTTCAATGTTTGGAATGCAAATATGTAAATATGTGGTTTCTGCAAAAGAACTAGAATATTGTTTTTCAAACTGAAACAAAAGCAGTTAAAAACCAAGTGGCAAATAGAAAACAAAACAATTTAAATTATGTAGACTTTCACCAGTAATATAAACTATTTAGCAAAGACATAAAAAATACACTGAAATATGATGAGGTAGTTTAGTATCGCAAAATACGGTCTGGTGCGTAAGCAACCAAAACTGCATTTAAAAACCAGTTTTTTTTCCAATAAAACTTGTCATTGTCACCTCCAACACTGTATCATGCTGTTTCTATAAAATATTTAATGACCATTTTGCACTGATACATTACGACCCTTTTTATGTCAACTTGGCACCTACCGACTATCTCTGTCCCACAGGAGTATTCGTATGTGGTTGATTATTGACGGCTGGCCTAGTTTAATTTCAATTCCAGAACGGCAGTCATCATCGATCGGGTGTCGGGAGAAGCCATGATCCAAGTCATAGTTCTGAGTATCCCCATCTAATAAAGCAGACTTCAGCTCCCCTTTTACAACCTGTGCTCCATACTTCATTGTTGCAATATTTTCTCCTGGTACTAAGACAAAAAAGAAATAATTGCTTAATTTTTACACTCTCATACTGCAAATTAGATGTTCTGAACATCAACTGTATTAGGTCAAAGAAGAACAAAGACTTATTGCCAATATCCTTTCTTGACCACAAACACATGCTCAAGGAAAAACAAAAGTCCTAGTAACAAGTAGTGTTGATTTACTAGTATGTGGTATCTATATTCTCAGTCCCCTTTATGATGTTACAGAATTCTATTCCACCTTCTTCATTCAATCATCACTTTCCAGCTGGTTTTAAAGTTTTGGCCTATTTAGTCTCATGATCAACCTCTCACTGTAACTCTAATAACTTTTTTTGCCCTTTCCCATTTTTTGTTCTGATTTCAACTGGAGGGCTGGGGGTTTTTTTGTAGAAGGAACTAAAAATCACATGAAATGTTCAGGATGTGGATGCATCATGAATTTGCAGAGTGGTATATACAGTGTTACAACTATACAAGCTATTTTGATAGGTGTACAAGCTTCCAGTACTCTGCAAAGCTAAACTAACCTGAGTGAAATGAGGATCTTTTGGCTACTTAGGCTTTGAACCAACATGGTAAAGCAAGTTTGTTACTGTGAAATGGTGGCATAAAAAAACCTGTTACACCCTAGGAGCAAATCTTCCATCAAGATAACTGGAGATAATGATCCCTAACTCCAACTGCAAAACAATACATTGATGAACCACCCTGTTAAAAAGACATTTTTAACAGTCTTGTTTAAGGAGGGACCCTATAAAAAATGATCTAGAAGCTAAATGAATGAAAAGCTGCCCCTGAACTCTTCAGGCCGGTTGGCAAGAGAAGTATGAATTTTAACAGGATGTTAAGTTGAACATTTAAAGAACAGAACTTGAAGTGGTAAAATTTTAACTGTATTGTAGTACTACTAAATAAAAACATGAAATGCACAACTGTGAAATTGCAAGCGGTCGTCCATGTTTCCACACAGAACGTCCCAAGAGCCTGAGCTAGTACTAAAGCAACACAGACATTCAATTCTCTAAAAAGCTGTGATTTTGACAAAGCTAGAAATTTTGATTAGGAGCATATTGTTATTGAGACATAAATACACAGAAAAAGAAGTCAGAAGACATCATTTACTTTTTCAAATGTATCTACTGTATTATCAACAGTGTCTTGCACGATAAGACTTTTACAATATTCTAATATTAAAGTCATGTGTTTAAATATTAATATCCGTGACTTCTAAGAGAGAACAAAGGGGAGATGCAGTTCTGAGAAAGCAGTTACCTTTTCCAGGGCTCATCATGCATGACTGACAGACTACAGTGCAGGCTGCCAAAGAACATTTAACTTTATTCTTTCCTGTGGGGCAAATACTCTATAAATCACACATTAGATAGCAAACTAACTATCTTTCTAAAGCTCAGTGTTAGGTTGAATTAACAGAGAGCACAGACAAGTCAAACAAAAGGCTTCTCACATCTTTTAGGCTTCCATTAATACAATTTTGGAAGACTTATTTATACTACTTGGGCAAGCACGTAAAAGTAAGAGAAAAAAAATCAAAAGTCGCAGGAAAAAGATGAAAATCTTCATGAAGTAAAAACCAAGTCACCATCAACATAGAACCATTTAAATACCATATATCCCACAGCCAATGCATTTTTATTCTTTATGTTTTTGCAAAAGTTTCTCTATTAAAATAGCACTTTCTCTAGGAAAATACACTCTCTTACTACAACGTTCATGTTTGAGCAGTATCTAAGATACAAAGCAAAAAAATACGTTGACTAATATTATTTGAGGAATAGCAATGGAAAGCACTGTACAAATGAAGGTATTCCATCATGTAAGCCATACATAACAATAGATAAAAACTCAAACCACAAATTAACCATAACCTCCAGACAACAATAGTCACTAAACCAGAAAAACAAACAAAAAACCTGATGCTTACTTAACATGCCCCTGTAGTTGAGGTCCATGTCCCGACTCTCGGAACGAATCTTAATGGCATCTAGGATGGCATCAGGTGACAACAATCCAGAAGGTCTTACAACATTGAGTAGTTCTGTTAGACTCATTAGTGGCAAACGTACTGCTTGCATGATTTCAGCATGGTTTTCCTTGGGGTTATGTTTACACCAATTCATCAAAGCTTGGAAAATGTCCTTCTCAGGAGCTGCAAATGAGTCCCTCAGTACAATACTTAAAAGAGCAGCCTGGAAAAGAAAAACAAACAAACAAAAACCAAAAAAAACAGAAATATTTTTTTTAAGAAAAAAAAGGAAAATAAAATAGGCAATAATTAATGGGTATTTTAACTTCTAGTTATTAAAAATAATCTCCAAAGGAGTGACTACCTGAAACTGAAACTTGTTTTAGTTATTTACTGCAAGAATTCTAGAATCCATCATGTAAGTAATAGGTAAGATTACAAACCCACTAGGAGAAATATGTCAGAATTGAAATGTGGAAAACTACTCAAATCAATTCAATTTCAGTTACTACTTCAAATTTTCTTTGGAATTTAAGAAGCTATTTAAGAGTTCAAAGCATTCATTTAAACTTAGGCTGGTGTAAGAATACTGATGAGAAAAATAAAGTGTGGCTCGGAACCACCTGTTTAAGCCATTTTATTTCGGTTATTTTTTCCCTGCCTTTCTCTCTCTCTTTTGGTACCAACTTAGAATCAGCAGGTAAAAACTTCAGTGGCTCTTATTCATGCAGGAAACCCACTGACTGAAAAATGAAAACAAAAAAATCTGAAGAGCTTTTTGATTTTCACTTAGCTAGCAGAATGATTAGGAGTTTGCTTAAAAAAAGGACAAATCTCTCATATGTACCAGGACCAGCTATGCCAAGGATGTCATAAAGTATGTGCTTTCTGATGAATGACGTTTGCTAATTTCTTCACTGACAACATGCTCTCAGAGCTCAAATTTAACAAACTTTGCACGACAGAGTACAATAGAGAAAAAAAAAAAACATTTTCTTCCCTTACACAACCAGTAGGTTAGTCAGCAGAGCACAGTGTCTTGTACTTATTTAAGGAACAGACCCATCACAGCTTTTCCACTAAAAACACTTTAAAAAAAAAAATGAAACCATCATTCACTCCAGATGCTCTGCTGCTTCATATGAACACCACTTGATCACTATTGTGTCCAGCTCAAAGACTGCTCCAGAGCAAGTGGAAAATTTCAGTTGCCTGACTCAGGCACAAATATTTATGCATGTAACACCACCACCACCAACACAAACATCCAAACTGCCCTACACCACCTTATTATGCAACCGCAGAACATGATGACAATCAGCAATATAAATCACAGCAACCTCCAGAACGCTTTAGCTTACACAGCAGAAAAGTCACCAATCACTGAGACAGCCTAGATCAAGAAATTAATAGAAAGGAGTATCTTCTGCTATCTTCAAATCTTTACTTTGTATCCCCCGGGCAGCATTCAGAAACCAAATTATATAATTTCAAGGACAGATGAAAAAAAGACAAATTAAGATTAGATTGCTTGCTCCCACCTTTTAAAATACTCCATCAGATTTACTACATTTAGCTACATTGACCGGTCAAAATTAAACACCTAAAAAATTCAGAATGGATCACCAGAATTTTCAGTTCATCTTGGCTTGAACATTTCCAACTGCCACAGTTTCACTAGTATAAAATGATACCTGTTAAGTAACATGTAAACTTGTACTTTGTGCCCCCATTAGCATTTTATCATGAAGTTGTATACATATTAACTTTAACATTCCTGGAGAAGAAAGTGCAAACAAAAGATATACCTTCGAAAGCGATAGGAAGCCTTCGCTGGAGAGCACCTCTTGGGCATTTCTATCCATGAACATACAGCACATACAAGTTAATTTGGGAAGAGAATAAAGACTGGCAACATCAAACGTCATGCAGACATTCTGAATGTTAAGTATTGTGCAAAGATACTCAGACGTGGAATCCTCCAGTTCTGGGAACCCGTATTTATGTGCTAGGCTCAGGAAGTCTAGGAGAACCTCCTCTTTCTCATCTCGTAGTGTAGCACGACCAGTGTAAATATATTTCAGCAGCATGGTAAACGCTTCTGCAGTGGTGTCCTGAAGAGGAATTTCTGCTTCAGGCTGAGATTCTCTCATTCCGCCATACAATAATGCTCTATAAGGAAGATAAAATTTGAGAAATTTATATCCTGATAAAACCCAGGCAAAAAGTAGAAAGGAATAAATGACTATATACAGCAAGTGGAATACAAATGGGATATGGTTTAAGATTCTACAACAGAAAACCCCTTATACTTGGCATTTAAAGTGCAGCTCTGCTCTGAAAGCAGCTGCACAAGAAAAATATTCTAATGCATCACGCTTTTATCTTACACAACAATTGCTCCATCGCTACTTTGAACAACAGCTTGTGAAGCAGAAATTGAGATATGATTCTCATAACTTTTTTTTTTAATATAGTACTATCAGTGAGAAAGAAAATGAAAAATTTTCAGAAAGCAAGTGAAACAAATAGTTCACCACTAGAATATCGGTGGCAGATTAGGAAATTGTGGGATTCTTGACCCTCTGTTCCTTACTCTAAACCCAGTACATTGCAAGTCTGATGATTTTTCTCAAGATTCGGGATTTCAGAGTACTCACAATTATTTTTTAAAATACAACAGACAGTTTGAACACAATTTGCATTCACATGTTAGTTCAGTTATTAGCTTATCCCTCTGACAAAATTAACTGGGAGAAGACTACCAGGGAGTTCTATTAATTACATTTAGAGTGAAAAATGCCTAGCTCTTAATAAAACTGGATTACTATTATTCCTAGTTTTAAAATATATATTCTAAGCTGTAGCAGCCAGACCTCTTCAGATACTCAATTCCAACATGTCAAAATTAAATTTGCTAATTGAGTATATTCCATAGAAGCACACCATCCATACTCTGAGAAATGAAAACAATTTTACAGCATAACTTTTCTGTTCTGAAGTTATCTTTCTCTTGAATTTGCGAAACTACCTTCAAAATCCAATTTAATGAAGGTCAAAAGAATAACATCATGACATGGTATTTATCTTTTTATATTTGGACACAATGATTTGATGTGCTGGGAAACATTCACACAGAAAAGGTCACACTCAATGGACAGATGATTACACCCTGAAAAGTTCATAGAGAAACAATGTTTATCTGATCTGCATGAAAATTTCCTGTGAGCCTGACAAAAAGCCATACTTCACCTGAAATAATGGCACCTAGCAGCCAGGATCACTCTGTGTGCCGGAAAACGTTTCTTTTCTACAATAAAGGTAACATCACTGTATTCTTCCCCATTCATTAGAGCACCAATATGCTCTGACAGAATGTGAACGTGGTCAATCTCACCCACAGCTGTGTAAGGGCGAAGCGGATGGCTGTTACTCATCTTGGAGGGATGGTGATATTGGTAGCCTAAAGGGAAAAAAGAAAACGAGTATTACGAAGGGCACAAACATTAAAAAAAAAAAGCAAATATCAAGCTGCAATTACAAAAAAAACAACTAGCGTAAGCTACCATATAGTACAAGAAAAACGAAACCAAGAGGTTTTCTACTAAAGTTCATTTACAACAGGACGGGATGCAGCTTGCATCAACAATTCCAGCCTTGCTGTCCTGTCAATTCATTTACTTAAAATAAAAAGCTTCCAACAAAAGGAATTAAAAATTAAACAACTTAAAATTATTATTAGAAAGCAATTTTATCTGAATTGAAATGCACATAAATTATAAAGAAATAAATAATTTGACCAATCAAGCATAGTCTTAACTCCCAAGTCTCTACTAAAATCAGTGACAAGTAAAACCAGAAGTGTTTTTGCAGAATTCCAATCAACTTTCCAGAACTGTGAGAAAATAAACATTCAGGATAACTTTTTAATAAAAAGCAGACAAAGTCTGTCAAAGACCAAAGCTTTACAATGTACCATTCCATTTTCTTATCCTTTCCACTCAGTTTTCTTGACGCCTTCTTGTTCTCTCATATATGTAAGAAAATAAATCCCCTAATACTTCTCAGTCATAGAAGTAGGAGACCATCCACTAATGTACAACACAGATTAATGCAGTCATCCTATCTTCTATGGAATCACTTTGTTACTTCTTAATTCACAAGAGGTTTCAGTTTTGTTGGTTTATTTCAGCAACAGGGGCTTTCTGTAGTCTCAGTGGCCAGAGCATCCACAGAAGAATTCAGGTCTTCAATCAGCTTCTGTTGTTCCAATTCACTTTACTTTTAAGTAAGAAGAGGTTGGCTGTGTCAGATAATAACCATCCGTATTTTCAGAGGCACCTTCTGCGCCCCAATGATGAGCCACTTTTCAAAATGGGCACATACTTAGTGCTGAAGACAGACAGGGTACCACAAAAGGCGGGGAAATGATGAAGCCACACCCTGCACACAGCTAACAATTCATCTTCCAAGTGAAATATTCATTACATGAATGCATTTTTGAGCTATATTTTTAAAGTATTATGAGAAAACACGCATCTGTTTCCAGTCATTTGAAAGAAAAGAAAACACACATGGGGTTAAGTATTATTTGCACCTCTGTAACACCTGGAAACGCTTAACCCAAAGTCAAGATACTGTAGAAACACGGTCCCAAAGAACTTTAAAATAAACTAGAAAAAGTGACAGAAGTGGAAAATAAGACTTGGGAAAAATACAGCATACTAAATTGATACTACAGATCACAGCACAAACGGGAACAAAACCCCAGCTTTCCTCAGGCTGTCTCTGCTGTTTGAATTAGAAGCTGTGTGCCCGTGTAGCCCTTACGGCGTGGAACCAGCAATACTGGCCGAGATCCTGGAGGCAGCCTGACCACGGGAGCACAGAACACCATACAGTCATTCTTCTATCCTGCCACGAGAGCAAATTAATTCCTACGGGTTTTCATAACAACAGGCCGTTTCTTCCATTTGCACTGGCTAATTTCCAATTAGCTAAGACAACTCTGTGCTGAACAGATTTATGCAACGTACCCTTCCAGTTACATTTACTTTGTAACAAGCAAGATTAACTTAACTCACATCAGTCCAGTTGCATCTATTTGTACTAGCTGTAATATTTATCATCACATAATTATTTGAGAGTTTATCGACAACAGCAAAATTGAAATGCCCTCCAAATATAAAACCTTTTATTGCACCAAAGGAGCAAACAAAAGGATGTATTTGTTACTCTGCTGCAAATCTCAAGCCTCAACACTCCTTCAAGACTTCTGTACCTTACAAGTCCGTAATTGCGTTGTTCTTCATTCAGAATAGTCAGGCAACCCAATTACGTGGGAGTTACATGCACAATGTCGCGCTCTGCTGCTAGTTCTGATTTTGACTGATGAGGGAAGTTCATTCATGATACATGTACAAACAAATACAGGCACATTTTGGTTTTTAAATCTATTTTTCATTCCATTTTTTTCTACATTCTACTTCTTCGTTTCCTTCATCCACTCTTATCTCTAAAAAATAAGAACAAGCACTGTCTGAATAAAACCGAGAGACTATAAAAGCGGTGAAGATAAGGGAACGCCGTCAGCCGCACGCTAACTTTGCTTCCAGTAGCTGTGGATGTTGCCATGTGCCGGTAGGTGAAAAGTTCAAGGGAAAATTGTTTCCATTTCAGGTTAAATAAATAAATAAAGCCAAAAGCACACTTCCCTCTCAAGGGTACATAAACCTCTCTCTAAACAAGAATCAGTCCATAGAATAGCGCAAAGCCTGAACAGGGGACACTTGCTAGCAAGTTGATGATGCCAGTCCTGATAAACATCAAGACCCTGAACTGCAGCAAGCGATGAAAGTAGAAATTTAGAAATCCCTGTGTGTAAGCTGCCGGACAAATTTGTTTCGATGGGTAATGCTCTCCAAATTGCTGGTACGATGTACAACTCCAAATTGCCAGTCTCAAACAAGAACATACCGACCACGGGGAATACAGGACTCAACCAGTGGCGCCAAGCCTCTGGCTGAGGAGCCTTTCAAATGCTCGAGTGACACGAAGTGTTGGAAACTGGCAGCTTTATGAAAACTACCTACATGCCTTACGTGCTTTCTGTGGATAACACCAGTACATTGAAGAAGCACTTGAACTCATTTATTTGTTTACTACTGTGCACTCCTAGAGAGACTCCAGAGGAGAGCAACAAGGATGATGAGGGGACTGGAGCATCTCCCCTACGTGGAAAGGCTGAGGGAGCTGGGCTTGTTCAGCCTGAAGAAGTGAAGACTGAGAGGGGACCTCATCAACACCTACAAATATCTCAAGGGTGGGGGTCACGAGGACAGAGCCAGACTCTTTGCAGTGGTGCCCAGCACCAGAACAAGGGGCAATGGGCACAAACTGAAACAGAAAAGGTTCCAGTTGAATAGGAGGAAGAACTTCTTGACTTTGAGGGTGCCCGAGCCCTGGCCCAGGCTGCCCAGGGGGGCTGTGGAGTCTCCTTCTCTGGAGATATTCAAAGCCCACCTGGACGCTGTCCTGTGCCCCCTGTTCTGGGTGAGCCTGCTTGAGCAGGGGGGTTGGACTGGGTGATCTCCCGAGGTCCCTTCCAACCCTTGCCATTCTGGGATTTCCAATGCAAGTTTTGTCTGTATTGGGGATTTTCCATATAAAGCAGCGCAGTGAGAGCAGTCCTGGCCTTCAAAATATAGAACCAAATAACGCATGACTTCAGATCTTCCCAGACTGGATTAATTAATGGGCAAGAATTCAGTCAACCCTTGAAGTGATCTGTACATTTCTTGTTTGAGGAAGTAAAAAGTAATATACTGCTTTAGTTGTGGCAAGTTGCTATGAGCTCACAACTTCCGCGTGTAGCTAAACGTATTTTTTTTCTAGCTGCAACTCGAAGTATTTATTATTTATGATAAATAAAGATGGATGCTGCCAGGAGCTTGGCAAAACCCTTCCTGAAGATCCCTCTCATATCTTCCATCATCAAACAATGTCACCCCTTTCAGAGAATACAGGCATTTACTCTTCTTGCTGTTCAAAGAAGAACATCTAACAAACTTCAGAATTAAAGGCCAAGTCATTTAAAAACCTTTTGCCAGCACCATAACCTATTTCCAGGAGATATTCAGAGCTAAGTAACCACTCCAGGAGTCAGCTGCTGCAGCTTTGCTCATGCCATAGAAATAAAGAGTCTTCTCAGCGAGTTTGAGGTGCCATTAAAACTGCAACAATCTCAAAGGCATCTGTGAGGTCAGAAGGCCTGCAAATCACTTCACTGAAGACACGCTTCTTGGTGGCCACCTTCAACAGCAAGCACATGAAAAACATAGCCTCGTATTTATTACATAAGGCAACATGCAGTATTACACAATGCGAGTCATGGCTTGAAAAACAACAACAACCCCCCCCCAGTTTTCAGCTTGCTACATTTCTTTTTAGTAAGTAATCTGTAACGTATTACAGCATACAAAAATGTGATCTAGAAAATGCAGCAACAACAGCAAAACCCCAATGACACCTTTACCAAACCACTCTCAAACCAGAGCTGCAATAAAGACTGGTATTAAGTTACCTCCCCCCCCTCATTTGGGCTATCACTAAAGAATTCTCTGAAAAGCAGTGCTGTTTCAATGAAACATGGAAGAGTTGTTTTTACACCAGGCACAGAAAAAGGAATTAAAGACATTATTCATGAATAATTTGGATTTTTTTTCCATATAAAATGAGTGAAAAATGTTTACAAAACTGATAACCCTATTGAAACTTTAGGAATAAATGCAAGTAAACAGACTATTCCTAGAATAAAAAATTTTATGAAACAAGACTGGATTATAAACACTGAGCAAATAATTTCATGCCCTTGAAACACTTAATTCCTTTATCATTTAGTTTGTACCTATGAAGATAATACAAATTTTGTCAGAAATATGCAAAGGGAATTTTCTTAAACATAATTCTTCTACACTGCTATTTTCTCTAGAAATAGGAATGGGTTCGCAGTTGAAGGACTTGAGTAGTATTTCCATTTTCTGTAATTCATTACTTCATAAAATATTTTGCAATGCTTTAAATAAATTCCAGAAAAATATTATCTTAATTAAAATTTCTATTACCATAGACTCACAGAACATGGTAGGTGTGACAGTAACACTACTGTACAAACATACCATTGCTTCAAGTCATATAGTTTAGTTTTTTTAATGTATATACCCATTTTTTTATACATAAATATTTTGTTCTCATAAATTCTGGCACAATAAGCTAACACCTCAGGAAACAGGAATTTTTAGTAAATATTTCAACATACACAGAGCATAGCCCAAGTGAATACTGTGATTCGGTCAGAATCCTTGCTACAGAAGCTCTTCTTTACTCCAAACAGTAACAAAGTTGACTATGAGTGAAAATTGTAACAGAAAGGGAAAAAAAAAAAATACATGTTCTAATAATACAACTGTTAAGACTGAAGTTAATTACAGTTGTGAAGAATTTTGTGTTTACTCATGTAAAGCACACGCAAGCGCTAACAGTAAAAGAAGCAGTTCTTTGGTTTGACACAAATCCACAAAACTAGAGCTGTGCATAAATTCCTGGTCATGGTTTCTTTTAGTTTCACAACAGTTAAAAGGATTTACCTCTGCAATAATGTTTAAAAAAAAAAACTGTTCGGGGGCTTTTTTATAATTTCTAATTTTAATCAAGATTTTTTAAAAAAAAAAAAAAGCATTAATATTTAGAATTTAGTTACAAATACCATTACTTTGTTCCAGCAGTACCAGAAGAAAATGCAATGCAGCACTGAAGCACAAGCCAAATAATATTCTGAAGAGTAAAATACTTGTTTTCTAACATTCATTTTCTGTATTTTTCACCCTTTTAGTCCCATATTTCTAACAACGTGAAAACCTTTGTTCTATACGGTCCTGTGGTTTTCCATAATTGCACCCAAAAGAGTGAAGCTACCATCTGTAATCTAAAGCACCAGAGGGAGAAAAAGTGTTGAAAAGGCCTTGAAATGCTTTAAGGGAAAAAGATAACGCATCTGTACAAATGCCTCTCTAGCTTAAGAGAAGCACTGGGAAGAAAAAAGCATCTTATTCAAGATAATCCTTAAGCAGAAGGTCGTCTGGTATTTTTCAACACCATCAATTCACTAATTCTCAAGTGTCCTTAACTTTCCCGATTAAGCATTCCATTAACTTCATGGTATTTCACAAAAATTCTCTCTCATATGTAAGTCACAATATTACAGAAATAAAGAAAAAAAAAATCCACGACGCTACGCAAAACCTACAAATCTGAAATGCAGCAAAGATTTAAATCACATTGAGTTACATATGAACAATCCCACTGATAAGTGCTTACTAACACTGAGAAAAATAAGGCCAACTAAACGAAAATATTACACGAATAGTATCATTGGAGTTAACCAGTCTGTACGACACCTCCATAATGCACACAATTATTTAAAAATGTAAATTCAATTTTAATCAAGAACAAAAAAACAAAATTTCTTGACACTGTATTAATAACTATATCTGCATGCCTGAGGAACTGACTGGTCCTACCAATAATAATAATGTAATCAATGCAGTATGAAATTATAGACATAGAATATGAAAGATCAAGCACATGGAATTCACAGAACTGCTAAGTCTCATCTCCAACCCTTCTGTTGTGAAAGGATTAAAAGAAAAGCAGATGTTAACTCTGGTTAATGGTAAATAGCCACACTATCCAATGACAACAATCTGAACAATTTAGTACCAAAAATGTTTTGACCCAAAGCATACGGAAAGCTATGCACTGTTCATCTGCAAACCCGTTCCCATGACTTAAGTGCTCGTGCTGGTTTTGGCTGGGATAGAATTAATTTTCTTCACAGTAGCTAGTATGTGGCCACGTTTTGGATTTGTGCTGGAAACAGCGTCGATATCAGAGGGATGTTTTCATAACTGCTGAGCAGGGCTGACACAGCGTCAAAGCCTTTTCTGCTTCTCACACCGCCCCACCAGCGAGTGGGCTGGGGGTGCACAAGAAGCTGGGAGGGGACACGGCTGGGACAGCTGACCCCAGCTGACCAAAGGGATATTCCATACCACATGACATCACGTTCAGCATATAAAGCTGGGGAAAGAGGAAAGTGGGGGACATTCAGAGTTACGGTGGTTTGTCTGCCCAAGTAACTGTTACGTGCAGTGGAGCCCTGCTTCCCTGGAGCTGGCTGAACACCCGCCTGCCGATGGGAAGGCGTGAATGAATTCCTTTTTTTGCTTTGCTTGTGTGCACGGCTTTTGCTTTACCTTTTAAACTGTCTTTATCTCAACCCACGAGTTTTCTCACTTTTACCCTTCAAATTCTCCCCCTCCTCGCACCGGAGGGGGTGTAACCCCAGCTTACTTGCTGGCTGGGGTTAAACCACGACAGGGCTGTAGTGCTAACGTTTTACATTCTGCTCAGAGATGCGTTCCTCTGATAGAAGAGTGGGAATAAGTTTAGCTAGGTACAAAGAACGATATACTAAGTGCAGATTATTTATTAACACACATATAAAATAGTTATCAATGCCCTCGATACAACCTGGTTAAAATGGCATATAACTAAACCATTAAGTTAAAATCTCAAGGAAATACATTGGTCTGCTCACCAGTAAAGCTGTCTGAAGATCTACAGTGGACGTAGCCTGTAGGCAGATGACCAACTTCCTGAAAATTAGGGTTCTTCGCCATTCTGAACAGACAGATCGAACAGCAAGCTCATAGACACGCTACTCAGCACCATCCAGCTCCGCAGCAACCGCTGTACCATTTCCTGAAACAATGCATACACCGTCAGAAAACGGGGGCACGTAGCCAAAAGTGAGCGAGATGCGTATTTCTCAGTAAAAATGTTTGTGGAAACAGACTCTTTAAAAAAATCCCTCTGTTAATAATTTTAAAACATAGCATTAGAAATTCTTTCTTGAGCCATCATCATTTATTTTTGACCATTCATTTTTCTAACCATCAAAAAAGATGGTAACATATTGCCATTTGTTATAAGCCACAAGAATTTCATCCTGACATTCTTGCTACAGCATTAATGTCCCCATGAACACCGGTTTTGCACATGGGTGTCCCAATTAAACCAGGCCTATAGAAACCATATCACACACATTTTATTGCCTACACATCTAAAGTTCTGTAAGCGTTCTTGCCTAGCTAAAGGGTTTTTTTGGGGGGGGGGAGGGGGTGGTTTTACGATACTTCAGGCAGTTGCAGATCCTTCTCCTGTGGAAGTCTTTAATTTTACAAACAGGAAAACAAAACAAAATTGTAGGGTGAGGAAATACAGAAATATAGAAGCTTTATTTGTTTAAATACATAACCAACATAATGAGTCTCTCAACAAGTATAAATTATAGTTATTCTTCCCATCATACCTGCCAGCAGAAAAAAATAAACTGCATTTAATTTGCTAAAGAGAGGATACCTTGCTCTATGAATTCTCTCGTAAGAGACTCTCTAATCTTCTTTAAAGTACATGTTTAAGGGAGCAAGGAGGAGAGGGATGAAAAAGTATTTTTATGTAGTCTCATGAACTGGAAAGTAACCACACCTTAATCCAGCAAATTGAGAACAGGTATTTGACAAAGAAGATCTCCTGGGTTTGGAGAACAACATGTAATAAGCAAACATTTGTTCCTACAAGTAACGTATGTTACCAAGCTGGCTTGTATTATCAAAATGTATTCAAAAGCCATTTATGAAAATTCTTGTGGGTATTTTTTTTTTTTAGACAAAGATGAGGGAACAGACCCCAACAGAAGAGCATACTTCAAGCACCTGAGGTACCCATTTGTAATAGAAGACATGCCACATACACCTGCACTGTGAGTAGGCGCAAATCAAATGTTAAAATACATAAAGAACTAAGTGATCCCAGCACAGAGTTTTGGGAGGGGTCTGTGAGCAGCGCTTTAGAAGTAAGGCGAGCAGAGCGTTGCCGGGCCGGCAGGATTACAGGCAGATTGCTGGCACGCTAACAGCAAGTCGGCTTCTTTTAAACACGACAGCTTCTTCTGAGGCAAAACTATTTTCAGTGAATCACAGCAGCACGCAACTTGCACGAGTAGTTAAGTACTAAGGCCCCCAGAAGAACCTGTGAAAATACCGTGTTTGCTATCAGCGTGTCAAAATATCGAACTAATATTACAAAAAAAAAGGCAGATTGCTGGCACGCTAACAGCAAGTCGGCTTCTTTTAAACACGACAGCTTCTTCTGAGGCAAAACTATTTTCAGTGAATCACAGCAGCACGCAACTTGCACGAGTAGTTAAGTACTAAGGCCCCCAGAAGAACCTGTGAAAATACCGTGTTTGCTATCAGCGTGTCAAAATATCGAACTAATATTACAAAAAAAAAAAAATAAAATAAAAAAAAAAAATAAGAAGTCCGCAGCAGGGCCTCGCCGAGCGCAGGGGCAGGCCAAGGGGAAGGGCGGGCAGGTG